TAGACTTATTTAAAAATATTTTTTATTTATGAATATTTTTAGGCTGCTCAGAATTAATCTTAATTGATTTAATATTTGTATGTTTATTCATAATTTTTATATTTGTTACAAATATTTGTTTAAAAATCTAAACTTTTGAAAATTATATTATATGTAAGTATTTTTAGTTAATTTAGAAATATTATTAAAATTCTATTATTATTATACAATTACATATAAATCTTTTTAGTTTAGTTTTGAAAAATCTTAATTATATATTATTTTTTATAGCTTTATTAATATATATATGTATTTAAATTATTTATAAATATTTAATATTTAATTATAGATATTTATGTTTATTTATGAATATTTTCACTTAACTTATGAAAATTAATAATGAATGAAAGGTATATGCAGAATATATATATATAAATATTTTATTATTATATATTAATATATATATATATATATAATGTGACCGTTGAACTGCTTCGTCTTTCAACAAAAACAACTTTTCTGCTCCAGCTGATAAAAGAAACAGAAATAACATTTCAGAATATGTTGCAATTGGTCGTAATCAGCCGCATTTTACTACTTCACAGTCCAATAATAGCTGAACAATAGGCAAACTGATAAATGTATACAGATATATGCACCTATCTGTTTCTAGAATGAGGCTTAGTTAACTTTAAGCAAAGCTCGTCTACTCTGACTGTAGTAGCCAAGTCACAGAGTGGGCGTGGCTTATCAAATATACCAATATACGAAACCCATATACTCGCTTTGTCTAAACGTCAACCGAGCATGAAGAATAACAATTTGTGTGTTTCCTTTGCAGCTCTTTGGATAAAGTAAAATAATTGTTTCTGTTATCATTGAATAACAACACGCGGTTCATTGACTCTACTCAACAATATTTTTCCAGTCTTACGAAAAATGTCTTTGGCTCTAGAGAGAATCAATATTTGTGTTTGCTTTTTGTTGAGACTAAACTCCTTTGCCTTATATGGTTATGTTAATGAAGTCGTTGGTAGGGTCAGAGTATTTTGTATTCTGCATTGACTAGGTCAGTGTATATGTGTATGTCGTAGCATTTAACTAGCGGCGAGGACTTTACTTGGCGACTGCGCAGTATGAAACGAAAGAGAATGAGCGAAAGTGAAAAAAGAGAGAGAGATAGGGGCATAGAGGTATGGCAACATTTGAGCTCTTAGCAACAAAGAAAAGCTGAGAATATAAAGGTTAAAGCTTAACATAACTTAGTATATTATTAACTATTAACAGATTTTTATAATGTAAATAATATTTTCCAATTTAATAAGCTTAACCATTGTAAATTCAAAATGTGCAAACTGCAAGTGCGCATGCTTTGTATAGCAACACTTGCTTAGTAACATGTTGCTAGCTTTTTTGTATAGGAACATTGACTTAGCATCATGCTGCTAGCAGTTGCTCAGCAACTAAGCTGATGCTGCAGCTCATTTATAACAAACAGTATATAAATTTGACAATATTTTTGAATAAGTATACAAATTCAACAGAATGTGCGCATGTTTTGTATAGCAACATTGGCCTGGCAACATGTTGCTGTTAGGCGCTCTGCAACTGCGCTGATGCTGCAGCTCCACGACGCCCACGCGAGAGCGGCTGCTCTGGCTACACTCCTTGACCTTGGGCACACATAAAATGTTGCCTCAACTTTATTTTTTTTGCGCTTCGCTTGTGTCAGCCGACGAAACTGTGTGTGTTGTGTGAGTGTTGCTGAGGCTGCGAATCCATGAGAACGAGTGCGAAATAAACGCATTTTAGTCGCACATTTCGCTGGCAGCCACAAGTTGTGTGTGTTTTCTGGCAAACAGAACTGAAATTTATACGCGTGTTTATTGCTCTTTTATATACATCTACAATATATACATTAATATATAAGTAAAATATTAATGAAACAGCGCACACGCGACCACGATCCCCCATCAAATCGGCCGCTGTCTGGGCGCATTCCATTGGGTACGTATATATATATATATATTTACCATTTGCACTGCGGTCAAAGTGACGCAGTCTTTAGAAAATAAACAACCAAATCATCAGCATCAGCATCGGCGGCAGCAGCAGCATCAGCACCAGTTTAGGGGCCAAGCATCTTTGATTCTGTGAATCAGCAGCTGCTTCGTCATCGGCGCCACACAATTTTCGAGAGCAAGTTTGTCCCTTCTGTTTGCTACTCTTTGCAAATTGTTGTTTGTTTATTGATTTTTGGCATTGCTTCAAGCAATGTTTCAAATGATTGTGCATTACCGAAACGTGCCCATTTATATAAACATTTTATTCAGTATTTATGCATAATATATGCATATATGTAAATATGCATGTGCCTTTGATGTGCCTCAGATGTAAGAAATTGTTTCGATTTACGGAAACTTTTGTTGTGGTTGATCAGAACAGTGGAAAATAAATTAATTTTAAAGCAATATCAGCTGAACTTAAGATGCAATTAAAGTGTAAATTCGATATTTTTTATATTTATATTCTAATATTATATTTTTCCTATGAAGATCAATAACTTAATGTAATGAAATATGATTTGTACTTTAAAAAAATTTAATTCAATTTAAAAATAGTATTTTTATTAAATTTATTAAGAATATTATTTTAATTTTTTTTAATATTTTAGCCTAATTTAATTTATTTTTTAGTTTATTTTTTAAGTTAAATTTTTAACAATTTTTTTTTAAATTTCTTATTTTACTTTTCTTTTTAATTTTTTTTTTTTAATTTTTTTTTGCTAAAAGTTGTTGGAATAATACAAAATTTATTTATTTATTATAAATTTATTTAATTAAATAAATATTCTTTGCTAAAGTTTTTTTCCTAACAAAGTTATAAAAATTATTTAAATATCTAAATGATAAATAGAAATAGTTGAACCTTTTTATTTTACTTCGTGCTTTAGACATTTAAAAATAAGATATTTAAGATATATACATATAATATATTTCTAGCTACTTTTTAAATATATATATATATATATATATATGTGTTTAAGTATACACATTTAAAATGATTGAATTGCATTTCAAGTTTGATTTACACCTTGGCACAATTTCTAGCTGTCTTTCAAATATTTTGCATTTTGCAAAGGCAAAAACAACAACAATAGCAAAAAGCCGCGCAGCAGAAAGAGCGTACAAATTGTCAAAGAGCTGTAAGTCATTTGAATTAATGGCTCCATATGAATGGATGGTTTAGCTAGGGCCAGCCGAGCAGCCTAGCAGCCATGGAGCCAAGCAGCCAAGTGCTGTGAGGTCTTCAACTGAATTATTGTGTAAACTTGCAATGAGCATGCAATTTGTTTCGGTTTGCTTTATTTTCGCTCTTCGCTGTTCGCTGTTTCGCTTTTCCAGCTGCTCCACGTCAGATGTCAGGGGCACTTTCCTTTTCAGCTGAGCGTGTTGAGCTTTTCTGTGCATTATGCCATTTGGCAATGAGGTTGATGCTGCTGCTGCTGCGGCGGTTGTGGTGCGGTTTCATTGAGCCAAAAAAGCCACAAGTGTTTATTTGCACTGCCTTGAGAACATTTTCGCTGTATTTTATGGCCAAGGCGAAGTCACGTTGCTTTTTTGGTAGGGCATCTTAGCTGTGGGTAACTTCCTGGGCCATGACGCATTGTTGTCAGTTGCCGGGCTGCCATTTGTTGTTTTATTGTTTGCCCTCAACGCCACATCATAATTATGTTGGCAAATTTGTGTAATGAGCGAGTGCAATTACCGCGTTAAGGCAACAGATACAGATGCTAACACACACACACACACACACACACACATAGTCAAAAAGTTTGTTGTGCCTATGCAAATCTCATGTTTAAGTAGTATAATTAAATTTGCTGCTGTTGCGTTTCACGGGCTCTTAACTTTTCAAGCTCCCAGTGTGTGTGCGTGTGTGTGTGCCTCTGCGTGCGTATGTGTGAAATGCAAATGAAAGCCAAAGTTAATTTGTTAGATTTTTCACGTTGCGATTGCGATTACGACCGCAGCCACATGAAAGTGCAACACGTTCAGCTCTGAGTTACTTTTGTGGCTTGTTTTTTTTTCATTTTGCTGTAATGCTCCACAATAATTAAGATGATAATCGTAACTGTAATAGTGCGCAGTGCTAATTGCTTTTAGTGCAGACGCACCGACTTTGGCTCTTAATTTCCATAAGGTATGCTCCCTTTACTTGATATAGTTATATACATATGTATGTATATGAATTGCCACATCAACACATTAAAGTCTCAACTTCAATTAGCAGCTGCAACACGTGTTGCAACTTGTTTACAGTTCAGGCGTGCAACTGCAGTTGAGTAAAAAAAGTGTTGCATACTTTTGGGCAGTCAAAGAAAATGCCTTGAGGAAGGCATTTAGAAGAAAAGTTGGAGAATTTGAATAGTGCTCTATGAGACTCTAAATATATAATGTTAACTTAGACTAAAAGAGTATTAAGTTTATATAAAAATATTGGCTAAGCATAGAAGTGAGGAATTATATATGTTTATTCAGTTTGAACAAGTGCATCGCCCAGCGGCTTATGCATTTGTCCTGCTATTCAGTTCTATATACACTTAAATGTATATATATAGTGCATAAACTAGCATAAATTGTTGTTAAGTCTTAGACATTCTTTTATTAAAATGTTTATAAGACGCAGATGCCGCTGTGGACATAGCCATAAAAACAATTGACCTAAGGTATATTAATATTATTCAGTAAAAATATATTATAAAAAATAAAATAATATAAATAATAATAATATTATAAATAATAATAATAATATTATTTATATATTATATAAAATTGTTTTTTTTTAGATATTAAACGATATGTTTGCAATTTTTGTTATGCAACAAAAAGTGAAATTGCATTCAGATATTATCTACACGGATATTACACATATATTTAATATATTAAAATATTTTAATGTTTAAAAACTATATATTTCTTATTTCATTATTTAATTTTGTATTTTCTTTTTGTTTTCAGCATGTCTTCCGGCCTGATGTCTTGCGTGCGAGAGAACTCGCCGCCGTTGGAGCTGGATCTGAGTGGAGCGGGTCCCCTGTCATTGCCGGAAGGCAATAGCAGAACCCATGGCTATCAGGGACCAACGACATCCACGCCCATTCCTTGCCCGCTAGCTGTCGCAGAGGGCGCAACAGGCGATGGCAACGAATGTTCAACGAATGCGGGTGAGTCGCAGTTAGTCATTTGCCAGAGCATCACTGTGCGTATAGACTTATGTAAGATTAGCTATGTATGTACGTGCATACATACGTGCATTGCCTATAGGCAAAACTATGTTTGCAAAAATGAGTTCGCGACTTTCCCGGCAACGACAACAATTGATACAATGCGCTGCAATTGTTTATACCCTACGCAGCCGAGGGGTAGTCACGAACTGGTAGACAGTTTGCTGTTGCTCGTCTAACATAGAGAGGCATTAGAGCATAGGCTAGTCATCGAATGATGTAAGTATGCATACATATGTATATGTATGTGTGGTATTTGCATAATTAGTTCGAGCTGTGAATTTCGTTTTGTTGCAACCGTCGCGGGCATAAAAGAAACACACAAAGCACACGCAGTGCTATATATCATCGGTTCATATATGTCTGAGATCTGCCAACTAAGTGAAAAGGGATTGAGTACATATTAATGTCTAACAACTTATCTAAAACTATCAATTTGCATGAAAATCTATCTTGAAAACGTCACAGAAATTGCTTTATGAAATCACAAACTAGAAACAAGTTTCGATTTAACTGTTAGCTCTTTGTCTAACGCTGAACAATGGATCTGGGCATCTACATTAGCGCTCTGACAACGAATAATGTTTATGTAATTGCGGCTGGCGTAAAAAAACAACTTTCTACAGCGCGTTCTAGACTAGCTTTACCATCGGCCCACAGGGGTTGGGCAACAATATACAAATTAGAGCCTTTGTTGTTGCTGGACTACGGCAAATCAATGACAAACAAGTAAGAATGGCTTGCTACGGAGTGACCTGACTAGTAGATACCCTGCCAATGAGTAATGAGCTAGCTTTAGTCACTCTAACTTTAATTTTCTACTTGTCCAAATTAAACTTGATTATGCAATTAAACTAATGTCACTTCATCTTGCTCAAGAATATATATACTCAACGGGCGCTGCTGTGCCTTCCTCAGTCTGTTACACATACTTCAACATAAGCATTATACCCTAAATCCAGTTGTTCAATACCTTGCAGTTCGCTCTGCCATGCAAAACAGTAGTTGCCTATGTACAATAGCAGTAGCTGCTAGCTGTTAACAGCGCTCATTAATGTAATGTGCTGCAGGGGGTGGGGCAGCAAGCCTAAGGGAATAACATTACAGGCTGTTAGTCTGCTAGCTGCTAACAGCGCAAGATAGGAACGGGTAAGGGGGTGACCATACCATACTCCTAAGCTATGTACAATAACAGCAGTCGTTTGACTTTAACAGTGTCCGTTTATGTATTGCTATTTGGCAAAACGGCAAAGAGCTAATCAGTTAGCCGCTAATAAGCTAAAACACATTTGCCGATCCGTTCGTTCGATTTCGTTTTCGATTCGTAGCAGAGGGCTTCAGTTCGGCTGTTTTTCGCTTCGTTTCGTTTTCGTTTTTTTGTTTGCATTTGTTGTTGCCGCTGCCGTTGCGTCTGTTTATTTCGATTTCGACTGTTTCGCCGTATTCGTATTCACTTGATTCATTAATTCATTCGCTGCTCTCCGCTCCACCTGGGCAGGTGAACAATTCGTAGTACCTGGCGCGTGTCGCACTAATTACTCCACTCATAACTAAACTAAACTAAAACAAAAACAACAACAACAACAAACGAAACACAAACGCAACTTGGAAGTGTAATAAAATTTCCAAAATCAATATTTGTGCAAGTCGAATTTCCTAATTCCTGCAAAAGAAAATCCCAACCAGACCAGCTCGCTTCTTATTAGACAAAGTGCATAATTGTGTTGTGACTGATGTCGTGCAGTGAAAAGCCAACACATATAAACATATATATGTCTGGCAAATATCTATCTCTACGTTGACTTGACTTGTTTACGACCCGCTGTTCGCATTTTGTACAAAACATCTGCATCACTTTTCGGTGAAATTTGTATTTGAACAGGTAACAAATTCTTCGATTCTTTTTGTTTTATTTATACAGCAACGAAATGCTTAAAATTTTTTCGTGTTTCGACGTTTCACTCATATATCAATAAATTAATTGCGATTACTTCGATTACGAGCACTATAAAAATAAATATATGATCGCTTAGGAATATTTTCAAAAGTAAAAGAGTACAAATAACAGTCAAGCAGAACGTTGTCACGACTTTAGACCAAGCAAACCAATGACAATTGCTCGGCGCGAGTGGAAATTATTTGGGTCAGTTATCAACAAACAATTAACCGATCAATGAGCAGTGTATATATGGAGATTAAATGATAACTAAAACGTGGAAATACCTATAAAATGATTTAGGAGGTTATTCCTGGCTTTTTTCTATAATTTAGTGTGATTTTTAATTAAATTCTAACTAGAAATTAAATTGTCCAATAGGATAATATTGGATATGTAATAATTCTTATCAGCTGAAATATTCTAATTAGCGTGTAAACTATTAACTGCAGTCGAATTGGTAAGACCTATTCCAATATCTCCAGCTGCTAAGTAACTCAGTCAATTGCATTCCAATTGGAGATCTTTTGCTGTGCCAATTGGCGGAAATAGTCATAAAATGTTGTTCATTGATTTTTCAAAAGATAATCTACATTTGGTTAGCTGCAGTAGAAAACACGCTTCAATTGGAAATCAATTGCCAGTGCATTTCAGATTTACCTGTACACCATCCAATTGGATGTTTCAAACTATATTATATAAGTGCAAACAGCTTCAAGCTTTATGATTGCGTCTTGCGCTTGATTTCTTTATAGCTGATAAGCTCGATGTCAACGCCATGTTGGCAGTTGATTGAAGTCAACTTCCCAGCGATTACGTACAGGTCGTTCATATATATGTACATATATATATATATATATAGATTGGCTGGCCTCTTATCGTAGCCTGATTGTCAGCACCTTCCCGACCACCGCTGCGATTAGTTTCAATTGCATTTTAGTTTGAGCTCTTGAAGTGCATCATAAAAATTAATAAAACTATTTTACGCCGCGTTTTCCTTAACTGCAGAGCTCTTTTGTGTTACGTCTCTGTCTCTTCGTCTTCGCTCAAGGTTTTTCTAAACTTCAGCATTTGCATGGCGAAGGCTACGACTTGAGAGCGGCTTGCGCAATTCTCTATATTCTTGGCTATTTATATGCTTATGTGTGTCTAGTGTAAGTGAATTAGGCACTTGTAAAGCGGATAAGCTGCCCACACGCCAATGCCAATTGGGAACGGGTGATGACGCCAATGGCGCGGCGGAGGGGCGGGGGCGTGGCAGTAGCGGCAACAGCAGCGCCAGCAGGGGCTAGGCCCCTGTTGACCTTACTGCCACACAAGCCAAGCCAAAGCATAGTTAACTGAATAACAAGTAAAGCAGACACACACACACACACGCACACTCATATGTGTGTGTGTGTGTGCGTGTGTGTGTAGACATGTGTCTAGTATCCGTTCACAAACAACAACAGCAACAGCATTAAGAGTCTCCAATTACTGCAACTCGCTGCTGACTTAAAAAAGCTTTAAGCATTTAGCCAAGTTGCCAGTTGGCAGTTGGCCGATAGCCGTTTGGCTCCAGTCAGTTAGCGATTTGCATTTTGCAAACTCAAAAATGATTAATTAATAACTGCGCCTACTTGCGCAAAGAGCTGTCAGACAGACAGTCGCATTCGAGTGACTCGACGCCTATTCACGTTTTATTTAATAGAATTTGTCATCGACAAAATGTACACATAACAATAACAATAATAACACCTACAGGCAGCTACATATAAATATATAAATATATATAAATATATATATATATACCTGCCTTAGAGCAGCATCAACAATTGCCTCATGCTAAGTCTTACAATGTTTTGATAAATTACCTAAGACGCCAAAGAGTCAGGCTAAAATAAACAAGTCAGAATGGCAATAAACAAGTTGGCAGCTGGGCATAACTGACTGCGCAATGCTCGCTAACAATTTGCCACAGTTTGCATAATCGATTTAAGTTAAGAGTTTGCCAAACAAATATGCTCCACTTGCTATAAGAAAACAGTGTATTAAACGACACTTTGTCAAAAGAAAAGAGATTTATAATTAAATTCGACAATAGACTGAGCATTCACAATAGCTAAGAGTCATGCGAGACTTAAGCACTGTGAATCATCAGAAAACCTCTTAATATAAAATGCCGCATACTTTAGCTCTGCTTCAAATTAAATCACATTATATATAATTAAATGATAAATTCAATGCAAATACTAAATTATTTAGTTATCATTAAAAATAAAGCCCAGCTATCATAGATATTCGCAATTGTGTTTATCTATTGATGATTGTAACTTATGGCTCTTATAGAGCTCTTATAGCATTTGCTGACTTTTATGACCAAGTCTATGTAAGCATTTCGGATATATATATTTATGTATATATATATATATTTGTATATGCCCCTGCCCAACTTTTGTGTTCGCGTGTCGCCAGTTGTATGGATTGGCCCCGAAACGTGACTGGCATTTTGTCGATATTTCATATTTACGCTGGGCAGCTAACGGTATCGCTGGCCATTTAGGCAAAAACGCTGCATTTCGCATGTTTGCAATGGACGATTCTTTTACTTCCGGTATTATTTTTCACTTTTAGTTCTTACATTGGCGATAGAAAGCGTGAAGCTTTGACTAATAGAGCACTACGAGTTGGGGTAATAGTTACTAGTAACAGTAACCGAAAATGTAGCAGTAGCAGTAAAAGCAGAAGTAATAGTAGCAGCAATGGTAACAGTAACAGCAGCAGTAGCAGTAACAGCAATAGTAAAAGAATATGTAACAGTAACATCAGCAGTAAAAGCAGCAATAGCAATAACATTAGCAGTAATAGCAGCAGTGAGAGCATATGTAACAATAACAGAAGCATTAACATTAGCTACAACAGTAGTTGTAACAGTATCACTAACACTAAGAGCAATAGTAGCACTAACAGCAACAGCAACAGCAACAGCAACTGAAACAGTAACAGAAAGAGTCAATTCAAACAGTAACAGAAACAGTCACAGAAATTATGCCAGCAAGCAGTGACGGCATATACCAAATGTTAAGGAACATCTCAGCAAAATGTAAATGAGTAACAGACAGTTAACATAATATGTTCAGTTATTACTAAGAGGCTGTGCAAGGGGAATATTGGTTTTGTGTAATGTTCTGCTCACTAACTGTTCGTCAGTCTGTTTTGAAGGCAATGCATTACGCCTTAAGACTTAAGAGCTTAACATACATATATATAGTTTTATAAAGTATTTTAGATTTTTAATAGAAATACATGCGCATAGACCACTGTCACATATATTCGTATAAATTACGTGAGCCGCCCAGTAGAGCGTGTTTAATTGCAGTGCTCTAAATTCAAGCTTAACCAAGTTGCTTATAAAAATAAAATATATATGTAATACAAATAATATTTATAGATATATATTATAAATATATAAACAACGAATTCATCTTTAAGCAGGCTTTTTTCTGTGGCCTCGCAGCTCGGGTTATTTGATACAATATATATGTAGTCGAGGGGGTGCTGGTCCTAAGCAATCATCTGGCAAAGTGGCACATGACACACGTGGATTGAGTCATGTTGACAGGCAAATGACATCATAATAATTTTTAACCCTTTTTTTTTGCCGGCTGAGACAGACAGCAAGAGCGACTAAATACATATATCTCGTTAATAAGCAGCTGTAACTGCTATTGGGCACTTCAATTGGTAGCTGCTAGCGCTGCTAATGGATGGGGCTAGTGCCAGGAGAACGTTATCTACGTGATTTCTGCTGATTTCTGATATGTCGAAACGTTAATTGACCTATGTAAACAGCAGAATGTAGGTGTGAAAAGCTTTATCAGCGATCGCAATTGAGGTTATTGGCAAACGAACTCTACAAAATGCCATTCAACTAAAGCGCACAACAAACAAATTTCATTAGGGGTATTCAGGCTGGCAAATGTCATTAATCATTGGCTGACTCTAAATCAACTGAGTCCAGATTAGTTACGACCTTGCCAAAACGAAACGAGACCAGACCAGCCAGACCTCTTTGTCTCCCCTCTCTCTCGCTCTCCCTCTTTAGTTTCGCACTCTTTATCTTTGTCATTTCATTTAGCTTTTGACTGCTTTTGACTCTGCTTTTGCCTATTTATGGGCATGTTTTGTGCTTCGTTTGCCAATTCAATTGTATTTGCCTTATTCTTATCAGGGCCATGACGATGCTGATTTGTGGCAACCAATTGATTGCTCAACCCTTAATCAATTGCGAAAGATATTCAACAATCAATGATATATATGTATATATATATCTCGATTCAACTTGGATATTTGCTATAAATAACTCTGATTTTGTTATCTATGATAACAATAGTAAAACTAAAAGTAAATAGGGAGTGCTTGAGCGCCTGCCTTGTATAAGAAAATGTGTGCTTGAGCTAAAGCTGAACACTCTATAATAGCGCCGTGCAAAGTAGGGAATATTGTTTATTGTTAGTTTAATATATATATAAATACAAAATTTATTAGCTGTAGTTCGTAAAACGTTTCAGAAACTCAAGCTCATTAACGTTTTTTAAGTATTATAGTAAAGTATAACTTGAGCTTCATATAAAAGTGAAATTAGGGAAGGGCGGAGAGACAGAGGGATTAAATGAGTTAGATCAATTCGTCAATGACTGAAAAAACTAAAGTTTGGTAACAAATGTCAAGGTTTTATTGGAACTTGATTTTGTTATTGATCATTTGATCTTGAACTTGATAAGAGAAAAGAAGGAAGGACAGAAAGGCGAAGGGATTAGACGATCTAGATCGAAAACTCAAGTTTGCTAATGTTTTTAAAATTTTAATTGAACTTGATGATCGATAACTGTGATCAGTTGAGGCAAAGTTGCTGTTCATATTGCACTTAAGACAAACGAAAAGAAGGAAGGACGTTAAGACAGACGGTCTAAATCGCTTCGTCTGCTTAACAATAAATACGATAACATTTTTTAAGGTTTTATGGAACTTGCTATAATTATCGATCATTTAATTTGTTCATATTAAAATGTAGACAGATGACAGATGAAAGAAGGGAAGAACGCAAAGACAGAGCGATTAAAAATTCTAGAGATCAATTCGTCTGCTCAACAAAAAGTTCGATAAAATTTGTTAAGGCTTTCATGGAACTTAATATTGTTGTCGATCATTTAATTTTTTCATTTTAAAAGTTAGAGAAATGAAATAAGGAAATTTAGAAATTAGGAAAATTAGACTGTTTAGTTCGATTAACAGCTGTTCCTAATGAGGAATCTGCTTTACATATAGAGTAGACACATAGTTCATAGACTTATTTTTAGCAATACAAAGCCGCTCTATGTCCACAATGTGTTTGAGGCCGTCGCTGTCTGCGATAATCAATCCATGATTCATTTCAGTTTTCAGTCTGATGTCATATTTCTAGTGTCTGAATTGCAAAAGACGTGCACAGATTGTAGACTGATTATTAAAGTGTATATTTCCGAAAATTTGTAATCTTAAGCACATTTAAAAAAAAATATAAAGTATTCATGTGAGCCTGCTTGGGCTGGGAGCATACTTTAGACATGCAGAGTATATATCAAATAGCTGTCAAATCTCGCCACACAAAACTTTGTAATATTTGTTGATAATTGAAATTGAACTTTAGGCTGTTCAGGCTGTTAGGTTTTGGAAGGTCTAGGTCTAGTGTTGATTGCGCCATCTGCAAAATGGGCAATTGCTAGTGAAGTGTCGGAGCAAGCTGTAATTTCAATTTGTTTTCCTTTGTACATTTTTCGGCAGTTGTAAATCGTTTTCCTTTCCGTTTAGAACCAAATTTAACACTTTGTTGCTGTTCCCACTTGTAGAACATCAGCAGCAGCAGCAACAGCAGCAGCAGCAGCAGCAGCAGCAGCAGCAGCAGAAACGCCGTCGCTTTCATCCGCTACGCAATTTGCGTCGAATCTTTCGCCGGCGCACTATCACCAGCGCGGACACCCCCGCAGCTGGCGCTGGTCAGTTGGCAGGCGCGGGACCGTCATCCGGTACTGGCTCAGGGTCGTGCAACACTTTGCCGCCACCGGCGAGCAGTTCCAGCGAGAAGAACTTGCGCAGTGTTGCGCTAGCTGGCTCCGCGGCAGCGGAGGCTGTGTCGGCCTCATCGCCGGCCTCGCCGCTCACACATCAGCAGCTGCACGAGAGCTATCAGACGCAATCGTTGCCCAAGTCCAAGTCCTACGGATCCCATCGCGATGAACTGCTGAGCGTGCTGCTGGGCAAGAAGAGAGCGGCTAGCAAGCATACGAACAGCTTGGAGCAGCCAGTCCACCCATCTTACACACACACCCATACTCATTCCCAGTCTCAAACCCAGTCGCACTCCCACTCGGACGCCATGTACCAAACGCAGCGACCGCAAATGGGCGTGGCCGTCTTTCCCGACGCCCTGAGCATGAGTCGTAGCTCGTATTTCGCGGAGAAGCAGAGAACTCACCATCATCAGCGCCAGCTGCGCAGCGTGGGCGACTCAGCGCAGGATCTGGATCTGGCCGAAGACATTGGCGCCGCTGGCGGTGCAGCCGACATGTCCGACAGCCAGCGTAGTCTCAGCGAAGAACGCTTGCTGGACGTAGACGTGGACGGGTAAGTGCCCAGCCTAGTCCAGCCTAATCAGCCGTCTCTCACATTCTTCTTCTTCTTCTACTTCAACTTCAGCAGTGGTTACACACGTGAAACTCTCTCTCAGTCTCATGACAGCGTTTTCTCCGAATCAGCCACAGCCAGCAGCCTCTCCATAGTACTGAGGGTAAGTTCAATCAGCTGCAACATAGTTATTTCATTAGATTAGATAAGATATGTGAATTAGACATTGTTTAAATTTAATTCATTAGGCGGCGGCACTTGACGAGAGTTGTTATCGTTGTAGGCTTTATGGGAGCAGCCGAAACAGTCGATATTTCGGATATGCTCTGGGAGAGCGCGGTCTAATATTGATTTAGATTTTATGAACTGAAGTCTATTGATTATTTTAAAGACTTTGAACTAGGCATGACATAGGAGGACTTACGTTTAAGATCTTAGGACATATGCACGGACAGAAGGAAGGACGAAAGGGCGGACGAAAGGACAGACGAAAGGACAGGCGAAAGGACAGGCGAAAGGACAGGCGAAAGGACGGGCGAAAAGATAGACGAAAGGACGGACGAAAAGACAGACGGAAGGACGGACGAAAGGACGGACGAGAGGACGGACGAGAGGACGGACGAGAGGACGTACGAGAGGACGTACGAGAGGACGGACGAGAGGACGGACGAGAGTATGGACGAAAAGACAGACGAAAGAACGGATATACAGAAGGACGGGCAAACAAACAGACAGACAGAAAGACAGACAGACGAATCGTTGTAGAATGAGAGAATGAGAGAGGTAGGGTAACAGGAACGAGCACGCTTAGATAGGTGCGTTTATTGATCTTGATCTGGAAGATAAAAAAATTGGCCAAGCCAATTTAATATACACAGATTTCCCAGACAAGGAAATCTGAATAACACTAGATTTTAAATGAAATACAACATATAAATCCAAGTAAGCAATTAGCTTAACTTTCAGACTTCGACTTCAGCCGTCTCTCAATCCAAATATCATCTGCAATATCCTTGCATGGCCCTTTGCGTTCCATAGCTGGCATAGCTATAGTAAATCCTAGCTAGTATTGAAGATATATATAAATGAAAATCTTGCAGCTATGATCGGATGCATAAGTTCGTAATGAATTTCTTCTTTGATTAGACAAAAATTTGAACATGAAGTTGACTTCAAACTGCTGAGTACTGAGCACACGCGCCTCCTTCATAAATAGCTCTGCCATTAACACATACTCAATGCGATTAACGCGTTAAGTTATTTTTGGGCAGCCCATATCGATCCAAACTCCCGAATTGCCCTTGTTAAATTCACTCGGTGTATGACTCAGCAGGCAACCCCAACACAAGCACCGGGACCCGGTCCCCGGCCCCCAAGGCAAGCGGTACTTAATGCCTCGCTTGTGAAGGGTTGTTGTGCCAGCCGCCCCACCACTTGATGGCTGCTGATTCACATTGACTGAGAATCATTTCAATTGATTTTAATCAAATTCAATTTACTTGGATTTTTATATGTAGCAGCATTTGTGCATGGGGTGGCATCAATGCAATTGGTCATCGACCCAGTCGACAGTCGACAGGTCTCCAAATCTGTGAAGCGTGTTCAATTGAGCTGCAGTTCAAGACAGCAAACGCTGAATCTATTGAACTGCTGCGAATGCTTAGTACTGTTAGAAACTACAGGGTATGGCTTTAGTCTATGCTAATGATAGTTCGTTCACTTTTAATATGATAAAGAATTAGCTCAGTTTGGCGTCTTTATTCTTAACTCTTTAAGTGTGAAAGAAAGATCTGTCAGATTTGCTTTTAGGCAAAACACTTTGGGTCAAATTACAGGGTATAGCAAGAGTAAGTCAGCAGTAGTTCTCTATTGAGCTGAGCTAAGGCTTGCCAAAGCTTTTTAGTCTTCAGATTCTTATTTGGAGTCTCATTTGAGTAGCAATCATTTTAGCTTCAATTACAGGGTATACGCTGTAGCCCATCAGTAGTTTTTTGATCTGATTTATGGCTTACATAAAATGCTGCAACAGACTACATTGTTGCTTGCTTCTCATCTAGAAGGCAGTCTAAGTTACAGGGTATCACAGTTTGCTCAAATTACAGGGTATACTTTTTCTTTATTGATCATATTTCTTGGTCTAATCTAAGGCATAGATGAGCAGCTTCATCATTCTACATTGCAGCTTCCATCTAGAAGGCTTTCTGCTTTACAGGGTATCGCTAGAATAGTTGTGCTCTCAAATTACAGGGTATACTTAGTATTTATTGCTCTTCCATGATCTAATCTAAGGCTTAGATGAAGTGCTTCATCATTCCACATTGTTGCTTGCTCATATAGATGCCAGTTTGAATTACAGGGTATCTTAAGAGTGGGTCACTTAACAAATTTCTCTCAAATTACAGGGTATTCTTATTCTTTATTACTCTTTAATGTCCTGATCTAAGGCTTAGATGAGCAGCTTCATCATTCTACATTGCAGCTTCCATCTAGAAGGCACTCTGCTTTACAGGGTATCGCTAGAGTAGTTCACCCAGCAGCAGTAGTTCCCTCTGGCTGCGATCTGGCGTTGCTTAAGTGTTTTTCTTTGCCTACAATTGCATAAGCTAAGTTTGGTGTCGATGTCCGCGCCAGTTTCGACTGCATAATCGTTGAGCTGGTGTGAAAGAAGAAATGCAGAGGCTGCCCGCACGCGTCGCGTCGCGTCGCCACAGTGTGGCTCGCTGTGCAATAGTCAAATGCCCCAAGCCACTGCAAGCGGCAGCTATCGGACGGTTACTGTTAGTTAGACAGCTTGCTTAGGCTCGCTGCAGCTGCGCACGGAGTGGGGCTGGGGGCGCAACTCTTTTGGAGCAGCGCGTGGCAATGTGTGGCTTCTCCCTCGTCGACTTGCGGCCCGCCTCTGTTTCTAATGCTTCTTCAATTTCTGGCCAAACAAGTTACTTGGTGCCTCCAGCTAGCAGCTAGCAGCAGCTCGTCGGTTACTGCTTCTTGTTATTCCACTTTTTCCACTTGACTGTCAGTTAGCCGCTTCTCTGCCTTGTGGCTACGCCTCCCTCCCCCTCGCTCCACACAGCAGTCCAGTTGTCGGCTTATTTGCCAACCTGGTTAGCAAATACATTGCATTTCTTTTCTGTTTCTGTTTCTATGCTATTGAACTCCTGCAAACTGCAAAGTTTTCCGCTAAATCAGTTTGCTGCGAGACGTCGACAACGCTGCGCGCTCGTCCCTCAATGGCTAAATAAATAGAATATAGAAATTGCAACAGTGAAAAGTTCAATTGTGTGTACTTTATATTGTGTGTGTACTGTGCCTTTCAGATAAAATGCCTCTTCTGCTTGAATATGGCGGCATCTCTTATCGCCAGCTAGAAAGCGAGATATCTATCGGACAGCAAATGATTCATAATTCATTAATTGATTGAATATGTTCTCTTGCCTGTGACTAAGATTTTTTCCAGATGCTTAGAATGTTAATAATCGAGTGAGAAAGAAAGATATGGGAACTTAACAAAGCTGCATTTTGCAGAGCATATTTAGGTCTAGTTACAGAGACTGGAGCAGTTGTTAAAGAAAACTTCCGAGAGAAGAGGATTTCTTTTGGCAGAGTATTAGAAATTTGAGTTGAGGCTTGCTGAGCTCAGGCATAGCAAACTATGAAGCTAGAAATAGATCTAGATAGAAAAAAATGTGATCAAATATAACTAAAAAGCTAAAGCTGCTAAAGCTGACTCAGCTATATAACATAATCTAGGCTAAGGCTAAAGCCTGGCGCTTCCTGCGACTCTAGCAGTGCGCAGACCAGGCCAAGACTAGCTACGACCAGTTTGCATTGATAGAGGGAGATAGAGAGGCCAGCTCTATGGACTGCATATAAACAGAAATAGAAAGAGAAAAATATCTAGTTAATGTCCATAATGGGGGCAATTGAACGACAAACGACGCAGTCATTCAATTTTCACTGCACGGCTGAAGATATGTCCATTCGATGACAGCAATATGGTAACACGGTAACACGCATTGCTGGCGAACGAGGTTGCTGGAGCCTGGGCAGGGGCAGACTTGCAGCTTGGAGACAGCTAGCAACGTCAGTTCACACGCCTCACTTTAATTGCCTGGCTCTGGCAGAGCTCGAGATTGAACGCGAGGAGAAACTCGCTGCACTAAACGTGTTTTCCTAGCCCGTAGGACTTTGCCCAAATGTCCGAATCAAACGTTCGAATCAGCCAATCAATTCCAGCGACCCACATTCGCAACTTCAAATGTGTTTTATTTATTTTTTTTTTTTTATTTTGGTAAATGGAGCTTACAGACTTCCTGCTTGCTTATTGCATAAACATTTGATTTGCATACGACTTTGCATTTTCCGTATGCATTAGGCAGAGAGAGCTGCAAAAGCTAAAAGTTTGGATTAAGGAAGGCATCTTCTAGGCATAGACTGCCTAGCCTTGGGCTTAGCTTAAGCATGGCGATAGCTCCTTTTGCAAAAACTGAGCAGTGTTTGGCAAAGGTGTCGAAAATAATTTAAAATAATTTAATTTGTGCTTTTACAGCTGCTGCCACCACTCGTGGCACAGCTGGCCGCTGAGCTGTTGTAAGCTGCGGCTGGCCCAAACGCCTGCCGCATGCTGAGCCAAGCCAATGGCCCACTCAGCAAGTGTGTGCCAATAAATCATGAAATGTGACGAGCCAGCGACCACTCAGGTAGCCGCAGCTGCCTTTTGGCTACCTGCACTATTTGCTCTGTTAAGAATAGTGTTACCTGCTGCAGCGGTTATTATGAAATCTGCTACTCAAGACATTTTTAATGAAGTGCTAGATGCAATCGTGGTGCATTGAACTTGCCTTGAAAACCAAAACTCAAAGAGGTCTTTCACCTAGGCGTGCAGTAATCCTTGGAATCACAAACAAAAATAGATTAGAATAGGCAGACTAAGTGCAGCAGCGATGCTGATTAATTCAAGTAGCAGAAGCTGTGCATAAGGAAGTGTCTAACAGATCTGTATAAATAGAGAGCGAGGGGAAAGCTGTTGCATTTGTTTACTTGCCCGGCCTGCCTTGTGCCTTGCCTTACCCTTGAAATCAGCTCAACATGTTGAATGCCATTGCCGATGACAATAAACAGATTTCCCAGTGCCTGCGCCTAGCGCCCAATTATGTTTTTGACTAGGTAAAAAGTCGTGGCTCTCGCATTTCACAAGCAAAGCAATGCATTGTTATTGCAACAGCTGCTGTCGAGGGTGCTGTTTATGTGGCATCTGCTGCCTGCTGTCCGTCCGTCCGTCCGTCCGTCTGCCCTGCCCTGCCTTGCCCTGCCCTGCCTCGACACAATTCAGTTTCAGTTGCACATTGCACTTGGTCGCGCTCACAACGTCTCGCTCGCTCAGTGGCAAGAAAGTGAAATCTCGTAGATCGCGTGTGGCTGCCTCGTAACAATAGCCCTTATTAGTTAACTGCCGCGCGTGTTGCTGCCTCCGCCCGTAGCACTAGATCAAAATGGTAGCCGGAAGTGCGGGCAGCCGCAACATTCAAAGCAATCCATTTCAGCTTTCGTTTTCGGTAAGGCCAGCCATATTCAAGTAGAGCTTAGCTAAATATCTAAAGTCAAAGCACGCCTCGCCCTCGAGTCGAGGCTGTCCGAATGATTGACTTCAAGCAGAATCCGTTCAAAATGCGTTTGCCTGGATCGACGGGCGGCGAAAGTCGCCTGAGTCGCAGCTGCCTGCGCGCGCGCTTAGTGTTTCGCTGGAAGAGCTGGGTAAACCCAAGAGCTAATGCTACAGAGAGCAACGATTCATATGCAAATCATTCTCCAACATTCAATTAAAACCCAAACTTCATTTGCAGGCAGAGCTGACAGATGTGCTGCGCAAGCGTCGTAACAGGCCAGACGCCTCGGATGAGGATCTGGGCCTGCCACGTAGCCCAGTGTCGCCGCAGCGTCATGCGGCCGCCGGGCAGAGCCGCAAGGTGGCCGGCTATCAGCCACGCGAGGTGTCCTCCCTTAGCCTGTTGAGCGTCAACAGCACCGACGGTGAGGATAGCCAAAGCCATAGACAGCACTCGACTAATCCGAACAGCTCCGCAGACAACCTCAGTTCGGTTGTGCTGCGAGACCATCAGGAGGACGATGATGTGGATGCAGTCGGCCTGGAGCGACAGCGACTCTCGCATGCAGCGGCCAGACACAAAATGGCCATCAGGCCCATCAAGAAGGTACCCACGCGGCAGCACAGAAGAACGCTTGAGGTAGGCCACGCAGCGTCAAATGCCACGGGCAGTATATAAACGATGCTTCTTTACAGACTTCCATACCCGAGGCCAATGAGGAGCTCATCAAGATGAACCTGACCCAGGCGCCCAATCCCAGCCTGCGGGCTGTTAAAGGTAAGCGACGTTGGCTTATCCTAAACTCTAGCTAATGCCTGCTGCTTACAGAAACTGATCTGAAAACTAAGACGCGCTCTCTACCTCCGGGCAGCTCACTGACTGCCCCAACAACCGCCACTGCCACCACCAACACTAGCACCACCAGCACCACCAGCTCCAATATGCGCACCAAGACAATTGAGCAGAAAAACTCAACGATTACAAACATAAGCAGCAGCAGCAGCAGCAGCAACTGCGAGCGCATCAAGTCCACAACAGCTGCTGCCTCACAGACGTTCGGCTTGCGTGCGCTCACCTTTAAGGCGGCCAATGCGCTGTTCGATGGGCGTGGCGAGTCGTCAACGGACGGTGACGATGTGGCCACGGCCTCGACAGATTCGAGCGAGCATGGCTTTCTGCGTCGTCTTATGCAGCGCAATTCGAAGCGCAGCATTGCCAGAGCCAACGATGGCCTGGAGGATGTGGACACCAGCCATAACCTGGCCAAGAAGCTGCAGATCTCGACTTCCTGCCTGGAAGCAGCAGCTCGCGATCCCGTGCCGCTGCCCAACAAGTCGCGCAGCGCCACTTCGCACGAGCAGCACATACAGGAGACACGGCAGATCATCAAGCGCGAGATCCACAACGAGGGCAAGCATGGCCTGCACGCATTGGTTAGCAACTATGGTGTCCAGCCGCAGCCACCCACCGCCGTGAAGCCGAAGTCGGGGCCAGCGGCGCGCCAGCGTTATTTGCCCAAAGAGCTGGGCGCAACCTCGCCCAGTGCCGCGCTGGACAAGTCGCTGCCAGCTGTCGACGGCGATGTTACCAACTTGCTATCCAAGAGCTCGCGCGGCAACGACACCTTCCAGTCCACAGCGCTGGTGCGTGAGCAGACGCAGATCAGGTCGGAGGCCAGCACAGGTCACTTCGAGCGCAAGCCGCGCATTGTGAGTCTCAGCGCGTTCCAGCAGAAGCTGTCGCGTTCCAGCGACTCTATGGGCCAGCACTCGAGCTCCTCGAACTCGCTGGAGACCAGCACGGACGAGCCCTCGCCGCTGTACTACGAGGAGAAGCAGCGCAAGACAGTTGAGAAATCGCGCAGCTTCCGCAACTATCAGGAGGAGCGCAGCGTGGTCAACGAATCTGTGTCCATGCACAACAACATGCCCAGCCTGCCGGATCTGTCGATCAGCTTCCGCGTGCCGCCTTCCTACTACAAGCAACAGCAGTCGCCGCAGTCGCCACGCTCGCCCATGTCGCCCACGTCGCCGATATCGCCGAACGCCAAATGCGTCTCGCTGGGCTTCGAAATCAATGACAACAAGCTGCTGCAGGCGCGAGCCGAATCCACGGGAAAGCTGCCAAGCGGCCAGTCGAAGGTCTCGCCGCAGCGCAACTCCACGCTGCTGGTGCCCAGCCCTGGACCTGCCAACATCTCTGAGATCGAGCAGAACATCGATCTGATTGTTAAGTCGCCGATGGTCAGTTTGCTGCGCAAGTCCGGCGCAGTTGTGGAGCAGCCGCCACAGCGACCCAAGGTGCTTGAGCTGAAGCAGACGACAACCATTGCCATTGGCTCGCCAAGCAAGGATGCAGCCACAGCCAGCCCATTGGCCAAGAGCGCCAAGCTATCGAGCAGCCCACCCAGCACGCCCACCAAGAGCACGCGTCGCAACTCGAGCAACATGGAACGCGAGCAAACGCCCGCCGCTGGCCCAGAGCAGCCGGAGTTTATGAAGATACAGCTGAATCGTGTCGACCAGGCACATCTCCATAGCAAGACCAATCATCTGGTGCTGGCCAAGAATGTGAAAGCTGTGTCCACGCCCACGGAGCGCAGTCAGAGCAGCGATGATCTGACCATGCGCCGCCTCAGCGCTGAGAGCACGGGCAGCATTCAGATAGTCGAGCGCTCGCAGAAGCCGCTCAGTAGTGCCAACAGTCCCTCCTCACAGCCCGCACACAGTATTAGCCAGCCATCCGAGGCGTTGGCCAAACAGCAGCGCGCCGTCAGTGCCAATAGCTTGCGCTCCAGCTATGTCAGCAGCAGCAGCAGTTGCAGTTGCAGCGGCGGCAGCAACGAGTTGCTCAACGCTGTCTCGCCAGCAACGACGCCCAGCACACCAAAGAGCAGCGGCACGAGGCCACTGGAGCAGGAGAAGGATAAGTCCCATCGCCTGTCGCTGGAAGAGCGCAAGCGGCTGTTCCTGAATGAGGAAAAGTCCCAGGCTCAGGCTCAGGCTCAGGCCCAGGCGCGGGCTCTGGCTGAGCGCAAGTTAAACGAGGAGCTGCAGCGCAAGCCGGATGTGATGCCAGCGGCCACACCCACCACACCACTGTCGCCTAGTGGGCCGGATGCCAGCAATGGCAATGGCGTGGTGCTGCGCAAGAAATCATTTGCCAGTGCCAATGGCAATGGTAATGCCAATGCCAATGGCAATGGCAATGGCAGTGCGAGCTCAGCGGGCCAGGAGGATGCAACGCCAGAGCTGATGAAAGTGTTTGCGCGTCGCTCGCTTAAGGTGAAGGACGATGATGTTGTGGCCCTGGCACAGGTCGCAGTGGCCAACCACAAAAAGATGTCCAATGGCAGCCAGAGCGTCGATAGCGACAAGGAGAATCAGTCGAACAGCGAGGAGAAACTGGACAAGCTGACGCCCAACAGCGAGCCGCCGAAGTTAGCGCAATCGAACAATCATACACATGCACACGGCCACGCCCACACCCATTCTCATGCCCAGCCGCCCAGCAACAATCGAAGCACAGCGGCGGATTTTCGAAATCTCAACAATAACAATGTTCAGTCGGCGCCACAGAAGTTGTCCAATCTGCCACCCATAAAGGTCAGCAATGCGCGCCATTCTACAGTCAACAACAACAACAACACCAACAACACTAACAAAAACAACATCAACAAGGCCAACAGCTCCAGCGTCAAGCCGTCTAATGAGCGCTATTCACTGCAGCTAAAGCCAGCAATAACAACAGCTGCAGCTGCAGCTGCAACAGCAACAGCAACAATTGTCGCTGCAGACACCGATGCCACGCCCACCAAGCCTATAGAGCGCTCCGCCACAGTGGGCGAATTTAAGGGCATACACCAGCGTCGCGCCGAGTGGGAGCAGCGTGTGAAAGAGGCGCTCAAATAAGCGCTGTTAACTAACAGCAGAGCTGGCAGAGCGCGCACTGTTAACTAACAGCTGAAGTGACAGCGTCGCTGTACCTGTTATAGCGATGCTCCGTTATCTAGTGATGCTCTCTATTAGGACTGTAAATGAATACAACTCTAAAGCAACCGTCAACTAATGACTAAAAAAAGCAGAGAAAAAATAAAAGAATAATTATATTATTATTAATGATAGCAAATATATACGAGTTGGCTGTTTGAGCCCATCCAAAGAAACGAGTTGCGTCTTCGATCGATCTTCAAAATGATTAGTTTGTGGCTTATCGTTAATATATAGTCTTTGAGTTTAATTTGTGTTTGTGCACGTCAAAATCTAATAAAAATTATAGTAATAAAGCAGAAGAAAAACAAATGATATGAAAGTTAAAACTAGAGAACAGACAACCTTAAGGACTGTGAGTTAAAATAACAAATAGTTATAGAAATTCCCTATGATATTTTATGAGCATCTCTGATTTGTTGTAGAGCTAATGACATTCGCCCTCTCTCTCTCTCTCTCTCTCTTTCTTTCTGTAATGTAAGCGAACCTAATATGTAGACAAATGCGAGCTTTTGAACAGGATCAACTTCCGTAACAACTCTAATATCTGTAATAGCATTTAAACTATTATTTTCATAGCAATATATAAAAAAATAATAATATAATTGTGAAATAATTCTTTTTTGGGCTTTGTGAAAAACTGTTCAAGTTTGTGAAAATTCTATATATATAAAAAATGATTAACTGTTTACGATATAATATACTTACAAATATGATATATATATTATATATATCTATATATATACACAATCAACTCTAATTAACCTGTACGCTCGCGGAGCAACTATTTCAACATATACAAATAAAAAACAAAATACTTGAATGTTAAACAACTGAAATCAATTTACAAAAATTGTTCCTTTATTTTTAAGTTTTTGTTAAGCTCTAGGCTCATAAAAATTGTTGCTTAAAAACCAGTTATGTTGACTCTGCAGCTTGAGTACCTTCCAGCACACTTTGCTAACGACTTCTGACTTTTCGTCAATTGGCTTCACTTTTTAAGCTCTAATCATTTGAGTGTTTCATGTTTTAAAATGCTCAAAGTGAGCAGCAAATGACATAAGACTATTTAATTAGCGAGAAAGTAGTACTATAGAGAGGTAGAGAAGTATCTTGATCTATAATTGAAGACGAAAAATTCTTTGTGAATATACTAAAAACTGATTTTTATATATATCTAATTTGACAACTTTGATTTATTTCATCTATTAGTAATATGTCCTGCTGTCTCAGACAATAATTTATATGCATTATTGATATGTCTGTACATCTTCTATATGTTTCAGTCAAACCAGTTTCTTTTATTATAAAATATAGCGGAATTTTTCTTGCAGTGCTTTGACAAGCCAAACGATTTTTTCAATTTTCATTTATGATGAAAATTTATATATGAAATGAAACTTATGTCTGCTGAATATGTAAAATATTTCGAAACATGGGAGCTTCTTATTTATATTTATATTATATATATATAAATATTTTATTTTCCGTTCTCAAATATTTTTACATAATTGGAGTATTATATATACTATATACTATAATTACTTAGAAGTGATAACTTCAGTATAAAAGGTTTTTCTTATATGTGTCATATTTGAAAAATAATTAATTTCAACAAGCATTTACTTCTCCTCTACATTCAGCTCTTATTCATCCTTGATGTCCGATCGAATTGCACTTTGTCATGGAAACAGGTGGCAATTGCAATGAGTTTAATTATTTGTGCTGCACGCTCGGTTGAGTCTATGGCAAGAATCATATATTTTAAATAAATTCATACAGATTTTGTTTAAGAACGCAGAACAAATGAGAAGAAATTGGAATACATTAGTGTCAAGCGTTGAATAAATGCGAAAAACATTTGTATAAATAACAATTTGTAGTATTAGTTATATACATACATACATATATATATGTATATATACTTATATGTTTGGAAGGCATTTACGCATTAGTTTTCGGCGCATAAATTAAATAATTTGCTGATGACTCGCAGAGTCTGGTTTTCGGCCAAGTATATAATTGGCCAAAAAGCTTGACTCGCCAGCTGGACTCGAGTTCATATGAAAATTGGCTTAATCCGTCTTATTCCCATTTGTTGTTGACAAGAAATGACGTTGGCCGACACAGAGAAGCAGCGTTAGGAGATCGGCATTAAGACACGCGCAGCATGGCCAGCTGATGACCTCATGGATGGCGATTGCCATGACTGTGTCGTCACAGCTGTGCTCGCTCGTTCGCAGCGCCGAGATTCGACACAAATGTTGGGGTGCCTTCATTAGTTTGAGTTTAAATCAAGAACGCGACGGACGGCAGCGATCCGAGAAATCTGTGTGCTTATAGAATTAAAAATAATACGAAGAATATGCTGGCCCGCGACATGGACTAGCTGAGTGCGAGCGTGCAGAGTGTATAGAAGCTAAGAGGCCTCTCGACAAACGAAACTCAATCCAATTTATATTGATCGCAAGGATGCAAACACCAGCTCCGACTCCGAGCACTCCGCCGCCGTCGCGTCGCTCCAATCGGCCGCCGCGCATTAACATTCACAATATACCGAACAACTATGGCGGGTCGTCGGTGCCGCCCAGCGCGCAGCTGCCGCACACCTCACAGACTAATTACACGGGCCCCCAATGGCCGCCGGTGGCGAATCCCTTCGGCGCAACTGGCAACTTCATGACCAAAGGCTACGAGGGCTTCCTTGATCTCACCAAGTCCGGCATGAGTTTCGGCGAGAAGTTCACCTACGGCCTGTACAATAAGTTCAGCAAGTGGTCGAGGCGCTGGTTTACCCACATGTTCCTACTGATCATACTTGCCCTCTACAACATCGGCGGGGCCAAACTATTTCAGACTGTCGAACGTAAGTGGAGAGTGTGGCTGAGTAACTTATGCTGACTAGATGAGCGGCGATAGATATAGGAGTGAGAGAGAGAGAGAGATAGAGAGAGAGAGAGAGAGATAAAAGAGTTGAGTTTTGATCGTGCAAGTGATCGGAGTACTTAATAAATGATCTCTGCTAGTCAAGTAGATCTGCATATATATCTGCGCCTACTTAAAGCATGCTCTGTGTTAATCAAGTCTGTGATCCTCAAATATGATCAGTGATCTTCAAGTCATTTAGCTTGTTAGATTCTCTGTGATATTCAAAGTACCTTATAACATGATCTGTAAACTTTAGAGTTTAGAGAGTACCCTGAACTTCAAAGATGATCTCTGTTATTTAAATACATCAGAATAGAAATGACTGGATGATCTCTGATAGTCTGAGATTGATCTCTGATATTCACATAAATCAGAGTACAGATGCTTAGAAGAGATGCTCTCTGATGTTTACTTGTCTAGTAGATCGGAGTACATTAAGCTTATATATGTGATTATATATCTTATATAAGTGATCTTCAAGTGGCTCAGTGTAGCTTCATAACTGAACTCTAATATACAAAGATATCAGAGTAAATCTGTAATAGTCAAATAGCTCAAACTATAGCTGATCTATAATATTCAAGTAGGTCAGAGTGTTCATTGACGATCTCTCATAGTCAAGCATATTTCACAGCAGATCTCGGCTAGTCAAATAGATCGATAGCATCTTTCAGGAGATGAGCCAGCCACGTCCGCATAAACAATCTTTTCGATGATTTGTTTGCTTATCAAGCACTTAAGCAATTGTTTTGCGAATAGTCTAACCAAACCAGGAACTAAGGAAAATATACAAATATTGCTCTGGCTATGGCAACATGCTGGATAGTAAAATTCATACCGGATTCAGACTGAAATCGAGCAAACATATGCATGTATATAGATAGGTAATTAAGTCAACGAGCGAGCAACGAACGATGGAAACTGTAAAAAACAATGAAATATACAAATTTATATATATATATATATATATATATATATATATATATATATATATATTTATATATATATATATATATATATATATGATTCACAGAGAATTGCCGCTTGGACTGAGAAAGCTGCTTGGCATAAACAATTGGCTAAGAAAATGATTTATTTTAAACAACAGCAGCACAACAAATGCAGTTTATCGATTGGGTCAAATCGTTTTCAGATCAGATTTTAGTACACATATAAATTTGGCCCTCAGCTAGGGGCAGATTGCTTGAATGGATATGATTTTAATGTGTGTTATGTACAGATTAATTGTTAAATAAATTTTTGTCTAGAAGAAGCTAAATAGTGCCTTTAGCTATTATAGTCTGTGAGTTATAAATCGAGAAGGAAAGGTGAGTGGGAGAAAATAAGTCGCTAAGCCTGAAAGCCTTGGCGTTAAGTCTTTAAATCAAGGCTCACAATCAAGCTTAAGCCATATTCAGGTAATGAGCTACAATCTCACTACAGTTCTCAAAATGATTGAAGCTATAGCCATATCAATTTCACATATCAGCTAGACTACCCAAGTCTGTTCTAGTTTCTAAATTCATTTAGACAGCGTTGGGACTCTTCCTTCTGTCTGTAGATAATTCCGCACTTAGCAAAAAATATAAAATATATAAATAATATGACAATTGCTAGAGAGAATGATTGGAAGTCCTTGGCGCGGCAGAAGCTTGCGGCTTGCGGCGTTGCCCTAGGCAAAAGTCTTTAACAATTTGTCAATTGCCTAAAATATTACTGAGCTGTGATTGCAGACTTAGATAAAATGTGCAATGCCATGCATGATTTTATTTGCATTATAAACTGAATAATTGTGTGCCAGTTGCTTTGTTGTAAAAATCAAAAGATTTCATAGACTTTCGGCTGCCTGATTCACTTGGCCTCAAGCTGTGAATCAAGTTCCAATTAATATAGTTTCAGGTTTTTATTTAACTTTTTATTTAATACTGATTGATACATCTATAATCAATTCAAGAGTCCACCCGCTGTTTAACAAAAATATCTTTAGCTTAAGGGAAAAATAAGCAGAAATCTGTATTTTTTCAATCTCATTTATTTTTACCTAGAAATTCACTAGGAAAATCTGTTATTTTTATTTAAATGCAGCCTTACATATCTTTGACCCCATAAATAACTTATCTATATATACATCCTCTATAATTAGGGGATCCTAAGTCGCTCTAGCTGTGCGTGTAAGCTAGAAAAATGTAAAACTTTAGAGATATGCATTGGTTGCTTAATAATATGAAGAGTTTTGTTTTTTTTTTCCAATTTAATTGCATAAATTAACTGTGAGAACAGTAATAAAATATAAACTATACAAATATATATTTATACATATATATATATCATACTAAATACACAAACTTCAACCCATTTGCAGATGGTCCAGCTGATATGGAAATACAAATAACGCAAGATCAAAAGCGAATATTCTTCAAGCAGCTCTTGGAGCTGGCCAACACGACAATCACGCAAAAGGTAGGCAAGCAACGGTACATGGATCAAGACACGTTAGTAACCTTAGGTGTTATTCAGAATACAGATCACTGGGATGGCTTCGTCAACAATGTACTGAACTCGAATAAGGCAGCTGTGGAGTCGCTGCTGCGCTCGAATTTGTCAACGGACGAGGAGGCTAGAAAGAACAATCCATGGTCCTTTTGGAATGCCATGGTCTACAGCTGCACGGTCTATACGACCATAGGTGAGTGAATGTACTCTATAAGATTGTTAAGGTAGTGCTTGAAGTGCTTGACTATAAGAAATAACTGAAGCCAAGGGAGTGAGTTAATATTCTAAGATTTGATAGCCAGATAACTAGATATAGAGTTATGTTAATATAACTGAAGTGTTATATCAATTGTTATCGATTTTTATGCAATTTGCTAAAGCTATCGATTATTTTGCATAAGCTTCATCTGCGTATGCTTTAGAAGTATCTATAAGAATTGATCTTCTATACTTTTTGAGATTGACGGATAGGTAGAGAGGAACAGATAAACTGACAGACAGACATATGGATGGATGGCTGGATGGAGAGAGCAAGATGCATGGTAGAACAGGCGGCTGGGTATATAGACGTATGGAAAGGCAGATGAGCTGACGAATGGGCGGACAGACAGAGAGAGGAGCAAAAGCATAGACAGACTAATGATGAAGCTGCAATGCCAGATGGAATAGACAGACAAATAGACAGACTTACAGAAGGACAGCAACATGGACGTGCAGTAGAACTGACAGACGAAAAACAGACTAAAAGATGAGACTCAACCGGCTCGCCTGTCGACTCTGATGCAGAACAATATATCTGGCGCCAGCCTTTACCCGCCTATTGCACACATTTTAATATATTTTAATGGGTTTAGGATATAAATAAAACTTAGTCATAGGAAATTATCATAAAGAACAAAATTTGTCACAGTTATTATATATAGACATTTATTTATTTTACTATTGTCAAGTTTTTCGTGCCCTCATATATTAGGACCTATTTTAAAAAACTGTCCAAATTGTTAAGTATTTACAGACATTTATATAAATATATATATTAGAAAATATTTATATGTATTTTAAAGAACTTGTCAACATTTTCTGCTTAAAGTATGTGACACCAAATGGAAATAGTTTTCGTTGGCGAAAGTACCTCTCATGCGTATGTTATTTATAAAGCATAGAAAAGATCTATATATACAAATCTGAATATATATATATGCAGACGGCTCTTGCGTATGCATGCGAAGACTTAAATTGTCTGCAGAACTCTTTGGAAAAGTGTCATCGTTCTTAATAAACATTTCAGAAACAAAAAGATGCACGAAATTCCAACGAATCATTGCTTTCACTCAATCAAAAAATAAACACATATAAATATATTTATATATTTATGTATATAGTATTTATATGTGTATATATAAATCTGTCTTTCACTTAGCATTTTTCATATGCCAAAAATACTTTTGGCAATTTCATTTGGAAAATTCGTTTTATTGAAACCGAAGCAAATCAAAATAAACACAGAAAGTGTTTTTATTGTGAACTCGAGCCGTCATCGGCTGGCAAATATATTACGTATACGCAGCGTGCGGTCGGCGTGGAGCACGTCCATCGAGAGTGTGCTAATTTCAATTGCTTGGACATTAATTCCATTTGGACCATGTTTACGAGTGCCAAATAAAACCATTTGCGAATGCCTCGTCCGTCCGAGATGGCGTCACATATCGAATGAATTCATAAATTCAGTTTTCATTTGAATTCCATTTCATATACCGCCCGAGTCATTAGCCAGTTGCTATACTTTCAAGAATCCAATTCGATTTTATTGAATTCAAAAACAAAAAACTTTTATGGGGCGAAAAGCCGCCAACATCGGCAACCGAAAGGCGGAAGGAAATATCAGTTCAGAGCGTGAATGAAAACACGAAGCTCGAATAAACAATTTGTGTAAAAGGCTCACAAAAATATTATTTTACTTTGTATATGCTAGCTATATAGATGTATATATGTGAATATATACACTATAATTATCACTTCTAATTAAAATCAACTGCTTTAAAATTTATTCACAGCAAACTCTTAGCATTTGTTCTCTAAAGTCTCAGCTCTTATCCAGTCTTTGGCCTTGTCCTTTAGAGAATGTTGACAAATTTCAAATGCAATTTCTTGTTGACTTCAGTATTTCAGCTAGGAATTGTAACTCCTCTAATAGTTCACATAGTAACTGCACTGCATAATCATAAATATGTTAATGGGAATATTATTTATGACCCACACTTCCGAGCTCCGCTAGCTGAGACCCTCATTAGCTTGACTACATATTTGAGTATATATTTATATTCGTGTTTATTCCCCACAGACACACAATTAAAATTTGATGATCACTTAAAATTAAGACAAAAAATATTATTAAATTTTCATTGTTAGTTTACACTGGCCAACACAGATTTGATGACATTTGGTAGACAAACATAATTTATATATAAAATCAAAATATCATATAAACAAAAATTAAAATATTCTGCTAAAGGCAAAAATGTTCAATTATTAGTAATTCTTGCTTCCAAACTGCCTTTAAAAAATTTATATCAACTTTATTTTTCATCAAGAAATTTTAAAATTAAAAATTAAATTAATATTTAAATTTTAAAAATTTTCTGTCAAGCAGCCAACATTTTTATATAAAAATTTTGCTTAAATAAAACTTAAATAAGCCTAACTTACTATTAGCTTATGCTATTTTTAAGTTAACTGAAAAATAATTTTATATGAATTTTGAAAGAAATATACTTAATATTGTATATATTATTGCTATAAATTTCTCTGAATGCATAATGTATATATATATATATATATATATATATATATATATATATATATATATATATATATATATATATATATGTCTTATTGAAATGCCAAGCACTGTATGCGTATACATAATTCTAGCGCTGTCTGTGAACCATCTTGCTGGCAGCATAAGTGCCCAAAGCTTTTATGAGCTTTCTAACAGTCGTGGCATAAAAAGTGTGCAAAGTGAATTGGTAACAACACAAATTGTTGTTAGCTGCAAATGTGTTTATGATAAAACCAATAAACACATAGCCAAACTGATATAAATAAATATATATGTCCAAATATATATATATGTATGCATATATAGCAGGAAAACAGCTGATGCTCTGAGATTTGTATTTTGAATATTTGTTCAGGCGGCGGCAGTTGGAAAGCAGACGACGTCGTGGCCGAGTGCGCGAGCTGTGAATACAATAAACGTGCTCTAGACTAGATTTATTTTAGAATACATAAATCAAGCATATATATATTCATATATGTGCATATGAAAAAACAAATGTATAATAAAGTAATGTGAATTAATTCAGACATTGAGTGTCCAAGCGAAGAGTTTGCTTTATGGCCCGAGAAATTGCACGCAAAAGTGATATAATTACAATTTGAAACGATTTTCCATTTGGTCAGTGGAAAACTAAATATGAATGCCTGGTCTCTATGTTAAAAATAGAGCCATGATATAGAGACAAAGCAAGAGAGTGAGCAGCGAGCAGCGAGCAGCGAGCAGCGAGCATCGAGAGCAAAGAAATTGGCATTAGTTAAGAAACTGGAGCACGGAAAATGGAAAATGCTGTGAATAATCACGGAGCTGCGGCGGCATCGAAGCTGCGGCATCGCCGTCGCATGCCCCGCAATCAGCGCGAGCAGACGCCGGATGCCAACAGCAGGCCTCACCCGCAGCTAGACAGCGTCAGCCAGGATCAGGACAGAGCTCAGCATGTCTGCATGCAGATACGTCCGCCGGGCGCGATGTCCGCGCATGAGAGCAAAATATTGCGCAGGCGAGACAAGGCTTTCGCCGGTGTTGCCGCGCGCAGCCAGTCGCAGCCGCGCGAGGCTGAGAAGCTGAGCAGTCCGGATGCGCATCAGCTGATCAAGCAGCACCGCAGCCTGTCGTCGCCGCGGCACAAGGACGAGTCCAGTGAGAGCGAGCTGACGGGCAGCTCGCAGTCCTACACGGCTCAGCAGCGGCCGGGCGACGACTCACTGAGCCGCCTGGAGCAGAATATGCTGCGCTTCGAGGAGGAGCGACGGCGCTTCGAGACAGAGAAGCGACTGTTCGAGCGCGAGCGACGCGAGCACAAACTGCGCCATCGCCAGCAGCTGGACCACGAGGAGCGCAAGCGACTGCTGCAGAACTATCGCAAGATCAGCGACAGCTTCCAGCTGCCGCAGGATGAGGAGGAGCGCCGTCGCCTGGTGCAGAGTCTGCGCCTGCAGCGCCACGAGGCGCCGTCGCTGCGCTCACGCAATCGCAGCAGCGGCTACGAAGAGTCCTCCACGCAGTTCAGCTCCTCCGATGCGGACACAGCCGAGGAGCAGCACACGAGACGCAAGGCGACAGCACAGTCCCTGGCTGGGTTCATAGCGGCGCCCATACGCGGCGCACCACCACCGCCGCCAACCACGCAGGCACCGCCAAAGCCACCCGAGCGCCATTCAGTGAGCCGCAACAGCTCACTGTCTCCCGTGCGTCCGCAGCGACGCTCAAAGACGCCAGAGCAACGCAGCACCGCAGCGGAGCATTTGAATCGCAAAGCGGAATACGTCGAAGTGGGCGAATCCGTCGTCGATGCGCCAGTCAAGCCGAAGCTCACGGAGGAGCAGCAGCGCACAGAGCTGCGTCGCGCCTACGTGGAGGCAGCCGAAAGAGCGGCAGCTGCAGAGGCAGCGCTGGCCAGGAGTCTGGCCACAGCCACACAGGAGAAGGTGAAACGCAGCAACAGCCTGAGAGCGCCAGAGACTGAAGCCAAGCCGGAGTCCAAGCGCAGCTCTAGCCTGGAGCGACCAAAGAGAGCAAAGCGTGAAGCCAGCCTAGAGCGGCCCAAGAAGGTGGAGAAGCAAGCTGCAGCTCCTCTAGTCGACGGCCAAGCTCAAATGGAGCAAACTACAAAGGAAGATCTGACAATCCTGCCAGAAGTGGAAAAACCTCCAGCTCTGCTCAAGCGTTTGGCCAATCTATTTAGGAGCAAGCCAAAAGCTGTGATTCCAGCAGAGAGTCTGGCAGTCGAGGCCAAGTCGAGGTCTCTACTGGGTCATCTGCGCCTGGAGGCGGCGCACGAATGGCGACGCCTCAAGCTGGATTATCCCGTGCGCATGGCGGAGATGAAGTTGTTGAGGAATCAATGTGTAGCTCACATGATATTGTTGATCCTGCTGCTGGGCTTCGGTGGACTGATGTTTCGCTATACGGAGGGCACGTCCGAGGACATCTACAAGTGTGAAGTGCGCAAGGTGAAACGCGACTTCATTGACAATCTCTGGTCAGTCAGCCATAACATGAGGTACCTCTATCCCCTCCCACTCCCCCGTTCCCCTCCCTTACTGCAATTAATGTTTATTTGATCCGTTGCTAGAGAGGATGACTGGAAGTCCTTGGCGCGCAATAAGCTGCGCAATTTCGAGGATGAACTCAATACGCTGGCCGAGCTCGGCCTGCGTCGTTTCCCTGGGCAAAAGTCTTTCAACTTTGTCAATTGCTTTATTTATTGCTGGACTGTGATCACAACCATAGGTAAAATGACGTGTAACCCAGGGCAGGTGTCTATTGATGAAGATGTAACGAAGGGAACATGGGTATTAGATAGTCGATAGCTGGGCAAGTCGATTGAGAATTACAGATTCATTTCATTCCAATATATATATAATTTAATTATATTTTTATTATATATAAATATAATATTTTATTATTATTTATAATTAATTATTATATATTTATATATTTTATATCTATTTTATTTATACTATATATATTTATATATACTTAAATATATGTTATATATATATATATTATAATTTGTAATTATTTTAAATACTAAAATAATATATATTTCTTTTATAATTATTTATTATTTCTTATATTCCCAGCTTGATTTATTTTTTTAATTATTTATTCTATATTTTTCAATATTTTATTTAATACTTGTGTCCAGTTTTTTAAATATATTTTATTTTATATTTATTTTGTTTTTTATTTATATTATATTCTTGTTTTATTTAATATAATTTTTTTTAATTATAGTTTCATTTATTGTATTTTATTTGATGTTTAATTAATTTGTTTTATATTTTATTTATTATTTTTAATTATTTATTTTAATTTAATTTATTTTTTATGTGTTGCATATTTTTCAAATTTAAACTTCATTTATTCATTTTATATATAATTTTATTTTAATATTTAATATTTATTTTTGACATTTATCATATTTATTTTAATTTTAATTATTTTTTTATATTTAATATATTTTATATTTAATTGATTTAAATATTGTTTATTTATTTTTGATAATTACATTTATTTTATTACATGTTATAGTCATATTTATTATTTGTCATATATTTTATAAAAAATTGTATTTTATTTGTTTTATTTATTTAAAAAGTAAAATATCAATTTCCATGATAATAATCTATTTATCATTTCCACTCTTAGGTTACGGTCACATAACACCAAAGACAGAAGTGGGACGCTGGCTGACGATCATCTATGCGATCATTGGCATTCCGATGTTTCTGATTGTCCTGGCAGATCTGGGCAAACTGTTCACGCGCAGCGTCAAGTTCCTGTGGGCGTACGTGAGGCGGGTGTATTACACGCGCTCGTGTCGTCGCATACGGAGGCAGCAGCAGGTGCGGGACGCGATGACGGGTTTCAATACTGTTTACGATCTGGCCATACGCCGGCCCAGCATGTTCTTTGGCATGACTGAGGCGACGGCGGCGGATCTGGAATCTCAGGGCGAGGGCGATGCTGAGGCGGGCAAATCGTTGGGCACCTCACACCCGGAGACGCCCACGTCGCCATATCCGGAAACCTTCGAGGTGGACGACGAGTTCAATCTGCCCATATCGGTAGCTACGATGCTGCTAATCGCCTACATCCTGCTGGGCAGCGCCGGCTACACGTTCATCGAGAGCGAATGGTCCTTCTTCGGTTCATTCTACTTTGTTTTCATCTCGATGTCGACGATCGGCTTTGGCGACTTGGTGCCGGCGAATCCGTTTTACGTGATGGTCAGCATGATATATCTGATCTTCGGCCTGGCCCTGACCTCCATGTTCATCAATGTGGTCCAGATCAAGCTCAGCGATCACTTCAAGCGCGCCAGCGCCAAGGTGGGCGCCACAATCGGCATGAACATGGCCAGTGAGTTCGGGGACGGCTCTCAGGTAAAGACGCCATCGGAGTTTGCATCGGTGCACGGCTCACGTTTGGGTGCCATCGATGAGGATGGACACGAGACACCAGCTAATGGTGCAGCCAATGCCAATCCCAACTCGAGCCCACCGCTCACATCGATATTGCGTGCACCACGCCCCCTGTCGCCGGCATCGATTCCAAGGGACAGTCCGCCTCCTCTGCTGCCCAGGCAGCAGCAACAGCCTTCGCCGTCCGAAGGAGAAGCCAAGAAGAAGTATAGATTTTTCTAAAGATACAGATTGATTTATCTAACCTGATCGCGAGAGTCTTATATAACCTGAAAATGACAAGAAAAAAACTGCATACGAATTATTTTATTACAATATTTATTTATTTGCTTATCTAATTTATAATTTAGTATAATATTATTTATAATAAATAAAAGAAAATATCAGTTGAGATTTGTACTCAGAATAATGTAAATGCCAATTCAGAATTACCTAGATAATCTCGCGCAAAGCTTAAAATAAGACATTTATGATATGAATTTGCTTAAATGTATCTCAACTGAAGTAAGCAGCTTTTATAGTTGGCAAGCCAAGACGGTTTGCATCAGATACTTGTGTTAAATGACATTTATACACACAGTCACACACACTCACATGCTCACACACACGCACAAATACGCAAGCAGCTACAAAAATTCCATAGTTCCCCCCGAATAGGTTGGTAGGAAGCAATGCACATCTGCCAGGCCGGAGCCAATCTGATGTGAGTAGCGTCTCCCCTGTCTGTGCTGTGCGTTGTGTGCGTCGTGCGTCGTGCAAGAGTAAAGGAAGTGCGACGACTGGAGTGCTGACTAAGAGAGACAGAGAGAGAGAGAGAGTAGTGTGGTACTCAACTCTCTTTCCCATTCCTCCCTTTCGTTGTACGACGACAGCGGCTGATGTGGCGAAGTCCTGTCACGCCATTCGGCTCTGACTTTCGTTTCATTGCCGGAACGTTCCATCCACACGCTGCTGCAGCTGGTGTGGCCCACTACAACTGGTTCGTCAGTTGTTGTTTTGAAACGTTCGCGTTTGGTTTTGCTAACGGAGAATTCGTCGCGTTCACCAAAGCAAAAGACGCGCCAAAAAATTATCGTTTCGAATGTGTGTATGCACCTATGTACATACATGCACATGAATCTGGTATGCATGTATTTTTGCAACGTCTTGTGAAATAGTGCAAATATGTAAATACCAAATGAACAGTTGCCATAGAAATGTTTGAAAATGATGCGACTGGTGCCAAAGTCAAATTAAAACTCATCGAATCGGCGACCACAACAAACCGAACATAATTTGATCGCATGCCGAACAACAGCAACTGCCGGTACAATTAATTAATATTTTCTAAATACATATATACATGTGTATGTGTTTACATATGTATGTATCTATGTAAATTCGTTGCCGCGTGTGCTACAGACAGCGAAATAACACAAACAACTACTAAAAACTGCAACAGTAAACAAAACAACAACAAACAACAGCAACAACAGTGCCAGACAACCAGGTGTGCTCATAATTGTGTACCCACTGTACAAAAAATTGGTGGAAAAGGGTATATTTTGTTGAGCAAATCTATGTGGGACAGGGGACAACTGTGATATGTATGTATGTATGTGTGTGAATGTGTATATATGTACATATGTTTGAGATTTATGATCGCGTTCTTCCATGTTCCACATTGATTTTTATACGATTTAAGTAGAGGGTATTTAAAAAACGGGTACATTTGATAAGAACACTCCTGCTTGCTGTTGTTTTTGTTGTAGGTTTTGCCATAGTTGCTCGAGCTACTTTTCTGCCAGACGCGCCTTCGTTTTCGGTTTTTTGTGTTGCTGCATTCATTTGCTTTCAAATAAATTTCCTTTTCAACAAACAGTGCACGGCAGCTGTCAGCATCAAATACAGTCATAATACACATACACATGCTAACAAAAACATACTGACACACATATGAGTACATGTAAATATGTATGTGTGTCAAATATGTAACGCAAAACACACAAGCACATGTACACACATACATGCATACTTAATGCATTTCATTTTATTTTGTTCCCTGATTTGGCATAGCTGAGTAATAGAAACGAACGAATTCTTTGCGCACGATCGTCTATGAATGTATGTGCGACAAGGACAACAATATGAATAATCGCTAACCCATATCTGTGTATTGGACAGGGACAACAACAGGAATAATCGCAAAAAAACAAAGTTAAGAAACCCTTACGTGTAAAACAACAAACTGCAAGAAAGCTCTACTCAAGATGTCTGCAATTAGCAGCCGCAATCAAAAAATGGAACAACAGGTAGGTGTAAATATACGAACTTTTGAATTTACATTCGAATGTGAAAATACTCACTTATATATGTATATCTGAAACTTATTTGCTTTGGATGACTGATTGTCGACCAAAGCTTAAAAACTTGGCAAGTGAATTATTTGTGTCTTTCAGCTTTTGTAATAGAAGTGCTGACTAAGATGAGATGTTTGTTTATACTAAATGCAGGAAAGTGCGAGAAAAGTTTCTTAATACTTGTTACTAGATTATTAGATTATTATAAGAATTTATTGGGGTACTCAGTATATGATCTTGGCAAATGTATAGATCATCATTAAAATTGGAAAAGTTTTATAAGAAAATCTCTCATACATATATGTATATATATATCTTCATTACAGCCTTACCCACATATAAATAAGTGCTTTTATCAGCTCTCATATATGATTCCTTGCTTAGTGCAGCTGTCCCAGCTGGTGTCTTGATATCAAACCACAAGCGCTCAGCAAATTCATGCTGACAGTTTGCCTTCGACGCCCGCTATCAAATCTCCGAGCTCCAGTGTTTGCCGTTGCCTTCGCCATTTGCCAGTTGAGCAAAATCCCCAAGTGCAGCGATTGCTATTGATTGGGCAATCAGTCAATCTGAAGTGAATGAGAAATAAAAGAAATTTTCCAATTAAGATTAAAGCAAAGCTAGCTTAAAGTGCGAAGTACTTCAAAATTGAAGTCAAGCAAACAGAAGATAGTTAATTGCTGTGCGCTAAAAATCTGATGAAACTTAAATTAAAACAAACAAAACAACAATCAGCAAACAAAACAAGCTAAATAAAAATACATTTGCAGCACTTAGCATAACTCAACAGCAATATTTTCTGGGACAGTGCTGTCGTATAATTCATTGTTAAAATACACAAAGGATTAATAAAAAAATAACAACAAAATAAAGGCAAGGAAATAAAATTTCAGGACAGTTGCCCAAAAAGCAGAAAAGAAAAGCTGAATAGTTGATGTTATGCCCCAGCTGTAACCAGGGGCAACTATCCTGGTAATAAACACACACACACACACACATGTACGTATATGTATGTAAACATGTATATTGACATATATGAATAAGTATTTGAAACTTTTGTATTTTTTTTCTTCCTAATTTGGCAACGCGAGTGGGTTTTTGGTAGCAGACAAACATGTAATATCGATTGCATTTGTAATTCAAGCCAAAAAAGCAATAAGTTACCAAATTATTTACCAAGCGCAAACAGCTCTCGACTTATCAAGTACGTGCGCTCGCCGGGTGGGTGTCAAGGACCTCAGGCTGAATCTGAGTGCGACAAAGTCTGCGGTTACTTCATTTTGCTGCCACTGGCCAACAAGACAATCAGCCATTGGCCACACCTAAGCATTCAACACGTTCGCCTGGCCACATCGACGCCCCCTCGATCCACCCTCCCCCGCCCCTTGCGCGCGGAAATGACGCATCGCCCAGACTTTTGTTTTCCACTGCCTATGTGGGTTTTCCTGCGCAGTTGCTTTTATGACTTGCTTGTAATTGAAAGCGTGCGGGTTCTTGACCCATGACTGCCAAAATATATATTTTTATATATGTTATATATATATGTATATATATATATATATTCCTCTATTCAGCAAGCTCGCAAATAATCTCATTGAAATTGAATTTGAAATTCTAGCTTTGCATTGAGAGATTGAGAGCTCAACGTCTTTGATTACATCTCTATTGAACAGAGTTGGAACTTAAGATGCAATCTTTAAGTTGATTTGAACAGGTGTCAATTTCAGGTGTACATACGTTGGGGTGTTCTCTCTGCACTTCAGATGTTCTACCCATATTAAAGCTTCAGCTTGGAAAAAATTTCTCATTCGATTTCTTGATAAAACTTCCTAAAAACTCTCAATTAAATATGTAAATTATTTTTAATCAAGAATAACAAAATTCTTGAAATTCTTGAAAAGTTCAAAGTTTGCCTCATTTCGTTCAAGAATTGTGGGTGTTAGCCACGCCTACAACGACTCTAGCTTAGCTAACTGTATGAAGCAACCCTCGTAGCTGCTGCTGTTTCAGCAAAGTTTTTGGCCAACAATTTGTGGCAAAAAGCCGTGACATGCACACAAACATCAGCATCAAGCAAATCCTTACGAGCTGCGAAAGCAACATAAGCGGCAGGAGACCCTCAGCAAACACTGTAGACAGCAGCATAATAGCTGTCTCTCCGTCTCCCTGTTTGACGTAATATGCAATTTATGCAATGCGAAGCCGATGTCCTGCGGTCTGCGCTCATTTCAATTGTAGATTTCCCATTCCTCAATTGCAATTTGCCAGCGAAGCCCCTGGCACCGGCGGCTTTCCTGCAATTGCAAAAAGCTGGCGCAAAGCTTTCACTAACTGCTGCAGTTAAGTTAAGAGGGAAAAGTAGAAGAAGAAAAAATAAATCGAGCAAATAAACAAAGCTAAAACTGTTCTAATGGAAAATCTAATCAAACACTTCGAACGAATTAAGTTTTCTCAAAGTAATTAATTAACACAAAAGCAGCTCGAGTTTTATGTGCTTTAATGAAAGATTTTGTAATGAAACTTTTGATTTACTGGATTATACATATACATATTGAAGATATCGGTTATTTTTTGAGATTTTTTAAAGGAAAAATTTTGAAAATTTTGAATATTTTTTATCAATTTGACTTTTAGGTTTTTAATGACTTCTTAACAAGATTAATTCGAAAAACATTTAAAAAGAATTTATTAATATTCCAAATAGTTTTACAAATTGATAAATAATACTTAATTATATTCAAAAATTAAAATTAATCATTTACACATTTTTAAATATATTTCTTTTAGTTACAAACTCAATTCAGTAAAACTTTTTTTTTTTTCAAAATAAATTTGCCATTTTTTTTTTTAATTCTACAAAAATTTAGTGGACGACTCACTGAATCTATAAATAAAATCAACTTCTAATTTGTTTATTTTACCTGCAAAATTGAGTGAAATATATAATTTTATGTTTAGTCAGTATCGTACTAGCCTGCCCAGCCACAAAATCAATTACTTTTAACTCTCTTAACTTTGTTAAAAAGAGTTCTTATCACAATCTAGAGCATGTGTCTAAAATTTCAATGCTTTCAATTTATGTTTTTTTTTTAACTAATATACCCCTTTATACTTCAGGCATGAGCACAAACAGCTCACCATAAATTATATTTTCATCTCATGAACAAAAAGTTTTTTTTTGCAATGCAAAATATGCGAATTAGATGAATAGAATCTATTCAAAATGTGAAATGAGCTGGATTTTCTTTTATGAGCATATATAAAGCCAAAGACTGTAACTAGAGTATAATTACCATATTTGATATATATTATATGTGTTGTTAGATATGCAGACTGTAGTTACTCTGTATATATGTGCTTAAAAAATTGTTAAAGAATTTCAGCAAAATTTAAATACTTTTAAATATGCTATATAAATGTATTCTAGAAGAATCTTAAGTAGGATAAATCCCTTTAATTTATGCTTTCTTATGTAAACTCTAATTAGATTTGACCTGTCAAAATCTAATTAGAATGTGCAGTTATCTAAATGAGCATTGAAAGTCGAAGCTTTGTGATTTATTAGTTAATTAATTATATATTCAGGCTTATATTCTGCATTTGACCAGCTAACGAAGATGCAATTAGGAAATCGTAGTTCGAAGCAAGCATTGATTAATTATAAATACACAAATATATGTAGAGAAGAGGCAAAAACTGTCATTTAATTGGATAACGGAACACAATAATGAGCAGGAAAATCTGTGGAAAACATGACACAATAACAATAGCAGGAAAATCTGCGGAAAACATGAAAAGCATGTACGTGACAATTCGATTATTTAATCTATGCTAATTATAGATATTTGTGCGGCAGGTCCTAGATAGCATATGAGGGCTTCATTAGTGTTTTATTACGCTTTGATTGTAAAATAATTACACGAAAGCGATTAAAATGTGCAGCGAGCCCAACAATTTGTGGCAATGCATGAAAAAACGAATGGAAAATTGTTAAACAAAAAACAAATAGAAATTCGCACAGCTAAAATTGGTGTGAACATCGAAAATATATTAAATGCCTCAAGAATCCCCAGGCAAAGCCAGCTTAAGTGCACTGTGATGGCCACTAATTGGGTCAGGGATTAGAGGCGTCTTGCAACTAAAAAAAATGCGTTAAATCAACGTGAACAGCAGCGAGGGAACACTTAACGTGGCTGCTTAAGTTTTCGCCACAATTAGCTGGCTGAGCAACAAGAGCAACAATCAGACCAGACCGCAAATTAGGAAAAAAACCAGTGAGAGAGGGAGCGGCCAAGTGTAACAAAGGATGGCTGAAAATCCCGAGGAAAACTCGAGCTCGCGCTACGGGGAAAACCTGCTGAAATTTTGTGCCATTTCACGCGAATTAATTGTTGCTGGCAATCAAAACAAACGCAGCGGCAACTTTCAAAATATATACACCACTTACCTTATGCTAATTATAATATTTGCACTTGCCTCGAGAGTTCAAGGAACGAAATGAAAACCCCTAAAGCGTCCCAGTGGAAGCAGCTAATGGATATTTAAGAGCATTTTAACACAACTTTGGCGCATAAACGCAAATGCAATGAATATTAATTCTTTTCATTTGCGTGTGTTGAAAAAAGGGAGAACTGACTGTACAGTACTCGCTCGGCACAGCAGACTGAAAGCAACTAATGCCTTGGCTTAGTCGGATAATCATATTTGTTGCCATGTGATATGGCGTCAAAGGGATGCAGCTGCAGCAACTCGACGATGCTAAACTGTGAATGATATTCTCATTTGTTTAAATTTGAATAAGAGGTGTTTATAGTCTTTATATTGTCAACTTTTGGGTATATACAGGGGAAGATATATTTCAAAATTCAAGTCTTTAGTTCAAGAGCAACGAAGTGCTTGAGCAGACAAAAGAACGGACAGGAAGATAGGAAGATGAATTCGATAATGTATAT